ATGGTTAAATACGCGCGGCTGTAGATTTAAGCCCGAATCTGTGAAAAGAACGTATCAACACACTTTTGATAAATCGTTAGTTTCCATTTCACTTACAGCGCAGGTATTCACTCAAACTTAGTTTTAGCATTAATAATTGTAGAATGTTCAACTGCAAGTTGCTGACGGCAGTTGTGCTACAGTTGCTAATAGTCAGTTGTACGTTAAACGATCTAGTGTTATAAGCCCAGAGTTTCTTGTAAGACCACCTTCCTCGGGAAGACTCTGGAAATCTTTGTCTTGGGAACAAACGGCGTCTCGGTCAACTCGGGGAGTCTGTCTCTGTGCGTCTTCAGACTGCGTCTTTGAAGTTTCAGAGAAGGAAGTTGGAATTCGGACAAAGACTTTCGACGTTTTGTTCGCGCGTTCGCGTGGAAGAACGATAACATCGAGAGGGTAATCTGTGTGTTTGCTAATTTCCCGACGGTCGTGGCTGTTCTTTAATCCTCGCCGCCTTTTCCAGATACGACTTGCCGGCTGGAACAATAACGCGGTTGATTGTAATGGAGGCGATATCAGTGATTCATTGTTCCACATCTAGCGTTTTCTTCGCCCATATCTTTTATTGCTACTCTCACTGTCTGTCTATCTTTTGAGCATTGAAACAACGAGTTCTTCAACATTTTACCGCACACTCGAATTGGAGACATTCTTCTGTCGTTTCCCTAAACGTCGTAAGATTCATTCAAATGTCACAATATATAGAGACTGCTTAATATCGGCGAAATTAAATGCGGCCTTTGTCGATGCATTTTTGCAAATATAATACATATAGATTATTTTTCTGATAATTTAATTGCAGACATTGTTTCGAAGGATTTTGTTGAGAGTCGTATTTGTAAATGCGCGTTGGAAATTCGTTGAAAATGCATTAGTATTATTATCTAAGGACCATTACTACGATTCGCAGGAGACGTTGTCTGTCACGCGAGCGAGACATCTTGGTACGTCTTTATGAAAATCTAAGCCCCGGGATACGTCACATGTAAAATTGACAGTATGATATGTCGGCATATACAAGATAGTCGTGACCTCGTTATCTATGAATATAGATTACTTGATTTATATGGCCGCATATTTGGTGTTGCCGCCGCCTGCTTTACCTCATCATACTGGAAATGGTTATTTCAAAGCGACCTAAGTTTAAGAGATTGCACACGAATATTACTAAAGTATCATAATGTTTAAGTAATATGCGAGTATTTTATAATGTATAATTTCCAGGAAGCAGGAGATATATTTGCCTTCACTTTATCTTTTAAGGATAACGATTTATCTTTTAACGAGCCGCGATATTCTGCTAATTAAGTCTAAAATAAAAGTCTTATAAAAATAAAATCTATTTTACATCAATGAAGGAATAGTATTTTATCATTAGCTCACATTGTAGAAGGTTGATTTTAATTGAACAGCAAGAAACGTATTTAATTCTGCGCCATTAGAAAACGGTTGAATGAATGCTTTCGTCGAAGAAAGATCACCTACTGTGTTACCGCGCTGTGAATTATTAACTATGCACTATTCCCGCATCGCATCTCGCATTCAGCCCAGTCGATCGTGTAGCAACATACGCGTACGTGCGCCCTTATGAATGGCGTTTCACGCGCGTGTGGACCTTCCCTTTCGACGTCGGAGCATCCACATCGCGAAGGCAGGATGTGCTCATCAAGATCCGGTGCAGATAGGGCGCAGGCTATCTCGGCGTTCTCGGCGTTGCAGCTCGTTGACCCGGATTCGCTGCCGGGTGTGCAAAATGCATGCTCGCGCATATGCTTGCGGCGCATAGAACGGCAGTTGACAACGGCGAAACTTTTCGCGGTCGGATACGCGTGTGGCAACGCATCAACTCTTTGAGTATCTCCTCGACTTCTTGGGATGCCGCGTTCCTTTCCCTTTGCATAGTTAGGATGTCTCCGCTCGACATCGCGATGGGGAATTCTTTTCGCATGGACAACGCTCGACCTTGACATAACGCAGAAATTGCGGAGCAGAGATGCTCTCGACGACCTAGTTTAAGATACTGGGATACTTGAGAGCAGTATTCTAGTGTCCAGGCACAATCCAGTTCGTTATTGTAGGTCATAATATTATTTTTCTATTCTTTATAATTTAATTGTTATTGTTGAAATTTTTCTAATTACGCATATACGAAATTAAACTTTTTACAATAAAATTAAATTTCCAGTTTCTGATTTTTAATTATATTTCGCTTTCAATTTGTAATATTATTTGATTTGCTAATTAAATATCAGGTGAATTTTTACCATAAAAGGTCAGAGTTTACAGCACAAAATATAAGTTTCGAGTAAATTTACTGTTCTTTTTTTGTCCTTTTACACGGTATTTCATTTTTAACTTTTATGAATTTTAAAATTTTAAATTAAACTCCGCGCTTAATGAGAAAAAATAGTTTTTACTTGATGCATGTGCACGGAAAGGAAAATAACGTCGCATCAACATTTGTGTAATTGGAATGGATCTTGCTAATTCAACAAGAGTATTGGTTAAAACAAGAGAATGTCGCGTTTATTTGATATTGCTGTTAAATTAACAAGATTTGTTCCAGTTGGACAAGAAAGCGCTGTTGGTGCCACATTATTCTTTTTTCCGCGTGGGTTGTGAATTACCGGGCGATTTAAATAACGTTGTCAACGAGATGCGAGATTCAGCGCTCATCTTTCCGAACGCGCAGCTAACGACGTGACAGAGGGCTCTCGTGAAGGGTGCTTTTTGTCCGAAGTGACGTTTCCAATATCGCGGTACTATAGGGTGTACACATTGTGTAACAATGTACATTGTACGTGTCTCGTTTCCGCGCCCGTCCGTGTCGAGAGAGCCACTCTTGACCGTGACAGGCCCGACAATCTCGTCTCCGCAGGATCAGACGGCTTTAGTAGGGGAGGTAGTGTGGGACGTCGGTGCTTGAGGCTCCTTAATTAAGGTCTCTAACAACGGTCTTCGCCCTTGTATCCTATTACGTGGGAAGATGGTACATCCGGCGTTTGACTAATTTTACTCCTTTCATCAGCAACGCGGAATGAATGCACGAAATGTATTCATTGTCAGGATCGGGATATCCTTAGGATTATATCGTGAAGTTATGACTATGACGGGAAGTATAACAGTTCCTATGCTGCTATATTAATTGTTTAATTAACGAGACTGTTGTACCGAGAAGTCTAATAATTGGTAAAGTTTGCTTATAACGAATACATTTTTACATACAATGAAGCTATGTAGTAATATTATACATCTTTAAGGAAGAAGCGAATAAAAAAGTTGCTTTATATATGTAGCTCTTTTGATCGGTTTTTAATTAAGGTAGTTCCAACGATTTTTCAATTACTCAAGATTTACTTTAAACTCTAAGAAATAAATGTACGTTATGTTAGAGACAATTTCTCCGATTTTCAAGAATTTTTTAACTACCACATAGTTAAAATATTTTTCAAACAATTCATTTACTCAGCGCTTTTTATAGACTAATTAGACAATTTTGTCTAAAGAAAGTATTGTAAGAAAATAGCAGACCATTTTTATTTTACTTGACTGTACTTTCCACACGTTTGTTTAATGTATAATAATTTATCTAATTACATTCAATTTTCTTGTAAATACTTTGAAAGTCTAATTATAGAAAGACTACTTTCAAAGTATTTGCAAAAAAATTATAGGTGAAAAAATTATATACTATACGTGCCATATCATTCTTTTACGTAACATTCTTGCAATATAATAATAAAAATAAAAAAAGCAATGAATAATTCCAAACTAGTTATTAAATATGAAATAAACTTTCGGATTCTTGCTAGTGAGAAGCAAAAATGCTAACACAGACGAAGAATGTACGGTGTATGATGTACATCCTTGGCATGCCGTTCATCTATTTGGTCCGACCATGACCTTGCGTCATTTCCAACAATTTCTGGCTCTGAAATCCCAGAGTACGAGAGGGGAAACATAGTTTCTCTAGGTTCGACCCGAATACTCGGAAACTGGGGTGTGCTTGTAGACGGTTGTACCTCTACAAACTTGTATTAGATACTCGTTCTAATTTGTGCTATTTTTTTTATAAAGATACGGCTCATATTTCTTTTCCCATTTATTTCGTTATAGATTTAGCAACAATATCAAGATAAAATAAATTTTGTGTAAATTTATTTTGTGTTTATATTTAGGTGTTCCATCAATTACTTGAGTCCCAAAATCACACCAATCCATTTTATTTCTTCGAAAGGACGTATGGGTGGTATGTGTAGGATACATAAGAAGGAAATTAAATTTTATATATTTATAATTATATTTTGCAATTGTGATAATGATTTAGCATTGAGAGATAAGATTTAGAAAGAAGTTTCGGAGTCGCTTTGCTTGTTGAGTGCCTTATTTTGTCTTTTCATAAAAATCGCTTGCACACAAGTAAAGAATTATTATTATTATTATATATAGGTATTGTTGATAAAATAATGCCACTGTTGCATCCAAGGTTTCAGCAGCATAATTTTGAAACAACAGTGCAAACTCGAACTATGAGTTAGAACAAATTAAAAATATTGCAACCGTCATACAGTAAGAGATTGATTTCAGAAATGTTTTTTGCAAAAAGACAAAATAAAGCACTCAACAAAGAGAGCAACACCAAACTTCTCTAGGAATCTTATCTCTCAATGTTAAACTTTTTACCACAATTGTAATAATATTTAATTTTCTTCTTATGTTATCTTACACATATCTTCCTACTTCCATCCTTTCGAAAAAATAAAAAATAAAATGGATTGATGAAATAAAGAGAAAACAATATTTTGTATAAGTAATATATATATATATATATATATATTAATAGTACGTTATAAATTTCATGAGATTTGAACTTTAAGTAATCGATGTTCTTATGGGAGAAGAATCTACTTATTAGTTCGATAGCGCTACTTCTAACGGCTATAACTGTAACAGCGCGCGCGATAAAGAAAAGAAAGAAGGTACCAATGACGAAAATCAGTTCAGATGTTTGGTTAATTTCCAGATTTAATATTATATTTTTTTTTTATCCATGTCAGTTAATAACCATTTATTTTTTTCTTTCTGCAATTACTGACAGTTATCTGGATTGTAAACGGAATTTGTTTTTTATGTCGATAATTGTACGTATTTTTTCAGGAATAAATTTGCCTTTTACAAACAAAAAATGAATTTACTGGTTAAAATGGAATGTAACGATGGTAATTCAACGGTTTTTAGGTTTCATACTAAACAAATTGTAAACAGTTTTGTATTGAGATATACGCGTTTTGCAATTGTTTCTTAAATCTTAGTCCACATATATCAGGAAGCTCTCGATAATTATTCTTCGATTAAGTAGTTTTCCGGCAGACAATAATGCTGACGACAGTAATAATTCTGGCCATCTTTGTTGTAACACCACGTTCCATCTGGAAAGTATGGGTCGATACCCAACTCGAGCATATCCAGGCGTGGAGAGTAGTAAGTATTTATTTTGTCTTTTCGTTGACAGATTACGGTACAGGCTGCCCACGGTGTATGGCCATTATGAGGCATCTGTAATCCTGGCATTGTTGCTGGTTCGTTCATAAATTTTTTTATTTTAAAATGCGAATTTCTTTTGTATTCTTCTAAGGTTCTTTTGAACTTGGTACATTTTATGGCAGTATACTGGAAAATCGTTTTGCGACTTTTAGTACAAAGATTGGAGTCATTGCACAGAACCACGTCATAATATGGCCCTTTGCAATTTGCCGTTTTGTGAATACGATGTTTGCAAAAACGTCGTTTGATTCGCGCTCCTTTGGAATTCTTTAAGCAATTGCTATTGCAGGTCTGTTCCTCCCATTCACTCCATTTATCCCTTTCACAATACTTAAAATTGTATATCTTTTCGAGAACGGGCTCGCATTTTCCACCGCGACATTCTTTTCCGAGTGCGCAATGAGATCCTGAAAAAAAAAATAAATGAATTGAAAACTGAAGTACCTAATTACAAAAAAAAGACATACCATCTAGCGCGGGTCCTGCAAAGAAATATTTTTTTTGTGAGGCGTTTCGCATTGTAAGACTTGACATATATCATCCAACGTGACTACGTTTGCATCATTGTCTCGTAAAAATAATTCACATTGTGCTTTGGCGGTCCATTCTCTTCCGGGTAAATCGTGATAACGCAAATGGTCCAATGCATATGGATCTGCGGGGTTTTCTCGTCTCGTACGATCGAGAAGGCACTCTTTTGTTTTCCAGAGTTTTTTAGCACTGTTACGACTACACTCGGACCATGTTATCTGGCCCCGATGGTACAGCCAATCTGTCATTATGTATTCGCCTTTTGGACACGTCGAATTGATAGAGCCATTATCGTCATCCATTCCTAATCTTTTGGACAAATAAATTATTAATTTTGGAAATATACTTTATTTTGCATTGTATATTTACAATATTTTGATATTTTGTAGTTTATAAGAAGTTAACACACTTAATAATTAAAGAATTAAAGCTCTTAAAAATTTTTGAGTCATTTGTATCTTTCAACTGAACAAATATGTAAATTTTATACAAAATGACATTTATACTTAATTTTTATGTAGAAGTACACAGAAACTTACAGACGGCCGATCGCATGAGCAGCAGCACGAGACGTTGCAAAAGCCGAGTGTATGCTTTTATTGAAGCCGAATTCTACTATGATGCACGAATTAAATGGTACACACGCGCCATTTCTGAAAAATTCTGTTATGGGCTCATAGTACCTTTGTTGGTTATACTTTGAATATATATTTATTCCGGTTAGGTAAAGACTAATGTCCCAGTGATGGGGATCATTGTCGTCTCGAGGATTTTGAGTTGTCGCGTAATTGCAGAACGAATCAAGCAGTTGTATAACGTCGCCGTCAAAAACTGGAAAATCTGATGGCTGTTCTTTCATAATTTTTAATCGTACTAACGATATATCAAGCGGAGTACCAAAACTTGGATGATGGAACATTGCTTGAATTTGGTTCACGTATGCTAGTATCATATTGCGTAACTCTCTCTTATTATTGTCCAGAAGAGGCATGTACATATGATATGCTGCTTCGTCGAAAAAAACGGCAAGTTCTATGGTTAAATTTTGTCTCGTATTATTATTATCGTTGTTTTCTGTTTTAGGGATTATTGTTTCAGGGGTTATTTTTTTAGAGATTGCTTGTTCTCTAAGACACGTTTTCCTTTCCCAAAGATTTTTCATTTTTTTACTGCTATCTTTGTCCCATGCTTTTAGCGTTTCCAAATTCTTAAAATCTCGTTCTTCTGTTATTCCTAAACTGTTGAACAGATAAATTATTAATCTTTAATACAATATATGTTTTCTTTTGCATCGTTTGATTGAAATATTCTTAAATATCTTATATATCTCATAATTTATTAACAATTAACATAATAAACGATTAAAGAATAAAATTTCTTAAAAATGACTGTTTACTTGTTGATTGCATCGTACAATTGTACATATAAATAAATTCTATTATAAAATTTAATTTATTGTTATTTTTTAAATATAACTAGTACTTAAAACTTACAGATGACCGATCTCATTAACAGCATTAAGAGAGTATATGAATTCAGATTTGTCACGGTATTCTGCTACCGCGCATGAGAAACGCCGATCGCATACGCCATCGATGTGAGCCTTTCCCGTAATCTTAAAATCCCTATGTGTTCTGTAATGCGCTTTATGTTTTACTTGAATATCTTCATAAAGATCTATTCCGGTTAAGTAAAGGCCAATGTCCCAGTGATTCGGATTATCATCGTCCGTAGGATTGAGAGAATTTGCATATTTGCAGAACAAATCGAGCACTCTATCAACGGCACTGTTACCGTGCCAAACTGCTAAATTTGACGGTTGATTGACCAGAATATTAATACGCACTACCAAAATTTTCAGAAAGACATTCAAATTTGGATAATTGAAAGCAGCCTGGATACGATTCACATACTGTGATATTTCTTCGTTTACCATTATGTAATTATAATGCAGAAAAAATATCAACTTATCATATGCACTTTTGTCGATGAAAATGGCAAGTTTTGCAGTTAAATTTTGTTGTGCATTGTGCACGTGACGTCGGTTCAGTTCGAACTTGTCCCAATGGTATGAATTTGAATCAGCAAAATATTCCAGTGACCTTTTAATAAGATGGGGTTTGCCAAACGAAAAATTAGTTTCTTCTCTAAAATCGTCGATTAAGCACATAAGCTTGAACTCGTTTCGCAAAGGATGAATCTCTAACGTCTTATTTTCCACAAAAACGTGTCCTTTCTAATTTTCAAAACATATATTAATTTTTTATGTGTTATTGTATATAAAACGAAAAGTAATACACGTTACAAGTAAACACATAAAAATTTTAAAACAGTTTGTTTTTCGTATAATATTACTAACCAATCCATCTTCATGACAAAAGTTGATGGCCGCATAGCTGATATGATCTTCATGATAATAATAGCATGGATTTGATAAGTTTAATTCCAACAATTTTTCCGTGACTCTGTTCGCATTATATTTCCATATTCCAAATGCAGGAGATACAATTCGATCGTTTCTACGCAGATTCAGTTGAATCAATCGTCCGAAAACTTTCAGTGCTATTGGTATCTGTAAATTGAATGAGAGTTAAGAAAATATTTGATAATTCTCGAATAATGCCGTTCGAATAATAACAAATATAATAATAACTATAAAACGCACATACCTTCTTTGCGCCTGTCGGATTCGATGCCGGCAGCAATATTATTTCAGTATTTTGTGAGATATGCGCGTACGTTTCATTTAGTAAGATTATTATCACCAATTTTAATATAGAAAACATCTTATTTTGTAAAGTTCTTTTGCAATTTTAAACTTTTAAATTATTAAATAAATAATTTCTATACACTCATTAGCACTGTCACGTTCGTTATATCTGATATGGTCGCGAATGAAACACAAACTGGTGTATGAGGAATATCCTTCGTGTGGCATGACACTTATTGTATATTGTTTTTTTGCTATATGTATATGTATAACTATTTATGTTTTGGAAAACTAAATTTTAGAAGTGGTATTTTCCAAAACGGTGTTGGTTTATAAAATGCAATTTATGCTAATATGTATAATATGTAACATTATTGGGACCGTAATAGTTTAATTGTCAGCAATTTGATTTCTAGAAGTTGATAATTAAAGTTGGTATAAAAATTTTTGTATGTCTGTAATGTTCTAAAAATTACATTAGAACTCAGAGATGAGTCAGTGGAAATCGAACGAAGGAAAGGTAACAATGAATTAAAATTATTCATATATAGTCATGCATATATAGCCAATTCGCAAAAAGAGCGAGTAAAGATGGAAAAATCAGAAAGAAATGTGTTAAATCAGTGCTCGGAATTAGTTGAGCACTTCAGTTTTTGTGATGTTTATTTTCCTTTCTTTAAAGCGCGCAAGGTTACAGTTGCAGTCTACGCTGCCGAATGTTAGAAGCAAGGCTGTCGGATTAATAAGTAGATTCTTCTCCCGTAAGAACCCCAATTATTTAAAGTTGAACATTTTTGAAATTTATAAAGGATTACTTAAATATTTTACTAATATTTCAACTTTTTTCTATTATGATTTTTTTTTTTTTTTTTATAAGTATGACAATTAATAACTGAATTTTTTTGCTCTTATTAATAGTAATCGGTGGAAATTGTTTTTGGCAATAATTCTATGTATAGACTTATATATGTGACAAGCGAAGCATCTGAAACGATCTATGTATGTTCGATAAGCAGAAACGATTATCTACGTATTCGCCCAAGCGCTAACAAGTAGAGGATTCCTTAGAGTGGGAATTTGAAAGGTAACGATCGATATAAAAATCGCAATACAATTTTGAAAGAACAAGCTAGGCAGTTAGTGCAATTAGTGCAATTGATTGTCACAGTGGTAGTGAATTTTAATTAGCATATAATAGACGAGACGAAATCGTTGAACACTAAGTTTTTATTTTATAAAACAATAAAGTAAAAATCGTAAATCAAGACAATTTATTTACACAACGAACTAACATTTATCTATAAGTTTCGTTAAACGCATCAGCATTCTATGTATTTTCTCTTTTGCTAACAAAATTTGTAAATTTGTCAGTTGCTAACAAAAAATGGATTTATTACTTTAAATAAAAAGTAACAACGATAATTCAACGGTTTCTAGGAAACTTGCTAAGTAATTTTTAATCAGCTTTAAATTGACTTATGCGTGTTTTGCAATTTTTATCTTCTCTTAGATCTTTGTCCACACATGTCGAAAAGCTTTCGACAGTTATTCTTCGATTCGTTCTTCGAGTAGGTTTCCGGCAGACAATAATGCTGGCGGCAGACAATAATGCTGGCGGCAGACAATAATCCTGGCCATCTTTGTTGTGATATCATGTTGCATGTGGAAAGTATGGGTTGATAAAAGTCAAGCATTTTCAGGCGTGATGGATAGTTAGTAAATGTATAGTTGTTTCATCGGCAGAATGCAGTACTGGCTATCCATGGTTTTTTGACATTACGTGGAACCTGCTTTCCTAACTCTTCTTCCAGTTTGATCGTTAAATTTGCGTACTTTTCCATTTTACTGAATTCGGTGCACTTTATGGTAGAATACTCGGCAATCGTTTTTTGTTTTTTTAGTGCAAATTCTGTGATGTTATTTCACAGAATCATTTCTTAATATCTGGCCCTCTGCAACTCTGTGAGTCTGCAAAAATGTCGTTTGACTAGCATGCCTTTGGATTTCGTCAAGCAATTGCTTTTACAGAAGTCATTCTTCCATTCACTTCAGTTATCATCTTTACAATATTTAAAAATATATGGCAGTTTCGATTACGACATGCATTCACCGCCATCCTTTTCCGAGTTGCGCGATGAGTTTTTGAGAAAAAAATTAATAGATTTGAAACTATCTAAAAGTATCTAATCAGAAAAAAAGATGTACCATTAATCGCGAACTCATTAATAGTATTTTTGTGAGACGTCTCTCGCATTTGTAATATTTTACATATATCATGCAACGTGATTACATGCATCCTTGCCGCGGGAAAATATTTTGCATTGTGCGTGGCGGTCCATTCTCTTTCGGATAAATCGTGATAACGCGAATGGTCCAATCTCAAAGATACTCAGGGTCGGATGTACGATTTTGTGGCCCCTAAGCTATGATTTTAAGGAGGCCCCCTTTCTTTTTCAGAGTTTTTCAAATAAACTCACTGAACAATTAAAAAAATCAAAATTTTTAAAAACTTCTCAGTAGTCTTTATGTCTTAATTATATAAATAAGAAAATCCTTACAAAAAAATATTATTTATACTTAATTTATATGTAAAAGTAGTATATGTAAACAGATGGCTGATTTCATGAGCAACATTAAGAGACGATGCAAAACCCGAAGATATCTTCGCATGTGCAGCATCAAATTTTACTGTCGCGCACGAACAAATCGGGTCGCATACGTCATTGATGGTGGCTTATCAACTCTTAAATAACTAACTCGTTTACTTATAATTTTATAGAGATTTATTCCGGTTTAAAAAAAGCCAATGTCTCAATGTTGACTATTGTCGTTCGAAGGATTGTGAAATTTCGCGTATTTGCAGAACAAATCGAGCAATTCATCACTGTCGCCATCGAACGGGCAAATTTAACGGTTATTTTTCTATAATATCCAAATATACCAAATGACATTAAAATTATTAATAGTTTTTTGCCATAGATAAAGTATAGTATGTTAGATTTTTTCTATATTTTATGTATATGAATGCAATTCTCTTCTAACAATCGCGTGCACTTGGCGCTTTTTTTGTACTTTTTTAAAAAGATAATTTTTTTATAATTGTGTACTGCGCCATATTGAACCCAATAATATAT